GACACTGAGGCAAGCAACGTGTGGTGAGTGGCCTAAAGGGTAAATTTTTGAACACACTTGTTCACACTTCTACAGTGCAGGTTTTCTCTATGATTTCAATTAAATCAACTCCCTCCTGGAATTTTTTCTCTTTTGCGGATGATTCTCCCCGAATGTACTTTGTATGCTTTAACTGTGATGCGAAAAAAGTTTTCATATCCTTTAAATAAGATGAAAACTTGCAGCAGTCAACTATGTATATATTCCACCTCCTGGGTCAACACGTCGCGCATTCGTATGCTCGTTTTTTCCCTTTTCAAGGGGTTGAGTGTTAGGGCTGGGTTGAGTGTGTATGTCAACATGAAATACGGGGAAATGCTCACGAGTGGCTAGGGTTGAAAAGGGTAAACGAAAAGCGAAAGTAATTTCTTGTAAATTTCATTTTAATTCGAATTTTGCCAATTACGGGGCACGTAGTTCGAAGTAGGCTGGTTCCCTATCCGTATCTGTAATTTCGCTCATCCCAACCTTTCCACGAACACGTGACACGTGTGCACTGCAAATACATTCATGTACATTTGTAGAGATCAGTGTACGTTGATTACGACAGCAGGGGCGTTTTGGCGACCCAAACCACAAACTTAATTCAGCTTTGGTCACTGGTTTAGCATTTTTGCGACTTGCTTTTGTCTCTGTGACGTCATCGTTCGGACCAAACGAGAACCGAAGGTTGGAGTTGGTTCAGCGCCGGTCCAAAATGGCGAAAAAAACAGACAATTTTTGTTGCTCCTCAAATGAGTGAAATATACATTTCCAAATTTGTTGTTACATGCAGCGAATCAAACAGATACTCTTATCTGTAGAGCGTACGTGAAAAGAGAGAGCAGCACTGGTGAGAAACTTGCCGAACACTGAGTGGAAATGATGTTCATCAACAGGGTCGCCGACTTCCTTACGCTCGCCTCTGACAGATAGATACTTACCATTTCTAGTTCTTCGGTTTTTTTGTGGGCCACTCCTTAACATGTTCCTGGTTACTGTTTTGACTTCACAAACATGTTTCTTTTAATTCATCCAATTTAGCACGGTACAATTCTGCTTAAAGACGTGTCCTACATTACAAAATGAAATATGGTATTGCTTTTTTATTCTTAAAAAAGTACATCAATAGATTACAATGTTACTCGTTTCCACACTGAAAAGAAACACAAAACAATTGTCGTAATTCGTTTTGAAGATGTCAAGCAAGAAACGACCTGGGTTTTTTCGTTTCAAATGGCAAACAACTTGTTTTTCAATTTGTGTTTAACTTGTTCACATTGAAAAACGACTTGTTTTTGGATTTTTTCGTTTTCAAATTAACAAACGAAGAACGAAATGTACACAGACGGAAGACCCGTATTGGTTGGAAGGGTTCATTTCGTTGGTAGCGTCGAGGCCGTATGGCGTTTATGTCACAGTCGTTTGTGAACTAGCAGAGTGCGGTTCCCATCAAGAAGCCTCCGTTGCTAGGAAAATTGCGCCCTCTCTTGGTCTAAGAGCGGAAATACGCGTGTCACCATGTGCCTGTCTGCGCGGGGTGTACCTGTCTTCTTGGCTCGAATGAATCAGTCACTCGCCGGAGTCTTTGCACCTACCTATTACCCAGACGAAGATGAGGGCCTCGACGACGTCCGGCGGCCGGCCCCGTCTCTCGTTGGACCCGGCCACCTTAGCTGACAGCAGCACCAGCAACGCCAGGAAAATGACGAAGGAGGAGCTGTGGTGCATGAACTTCATAAAGGGAGAGCGCATCATCTGACCCAAGCGCGTCTTAGGAAAGAACAAGTAGGCCAAGGCATCGATAGGCATCATAAACAGGACGGCTACGCAACGCAGGATTTTGATGAGGATATTGCTGCCCCTCCAGCCCGGTAAACCCTCGTACCAGATGGACGACAATACCTGCTGAGTGTTGGGATGGGCCACGAACTGTTTACAAGAAAAAACACCGATAGTTGTAATGACTGGAAAGGGCCCCAGATATAATTAGTAAGAGTTCGAGCTAGATATGCAATCACACGTATGAAACCAAACCACCGTTCACAACCATGCACACATGTATGGGGCTCAACCAACCATAAAAACTTCACGTGTGAAATATTATTAGGCTCCTATTACCGGCATATAACATTCGGCTTTATTTTCCTGAAAAAATCCTCCCCATCAATTTCGACACAGGATTCCAACCCCACAGATCACAAACCATTATGCTGTAACCGCTTGACTACCGCAGGTCACACAAGTTACTGGTGAATACGAACCGGTGTAACGGTCTCATTTATCCAGCGTGTTCGGATTTCCGGAAGAACATGCGAGATAAATGAGCACGTTGCCGAAACGTGCTCATTTATCCGATGTGCTGATTTTTCCAGATGCGTACGTACCGTACGCACTGTACTCACGGTGGGCTGTGGTCTCGCATTTGGAGGGCGCGGTGGCTCAGGCATACGAAGAAATGGGTGCGTTCGATTAGCTTCCACGTGTAAGTCAAACTTACACGAGAGCATTCGTTTAGCCATCACGTGATCTTTGTGCCTGCCCTGGAGTCACCCACCACTACCCCCGGCTCGCGAGCGGGTCTCTGGATGCTGCCCGAGTGTAATGACATCACGGATGGACTGTTCGAGAGCACGGACATGATGGAATGTGAGGGGACTTGACCTTTTTCCCAGAATGCCTTGGCGAATACACTGCAGCGTTCGATTAGCCTCATTTCGAGGCTTCCCTTGCGTGTGATACTGGTGTATTGAGGGAAGTTAATTGAACGCACCGAATTATTACGCAGATGCGACTGGGAGATCGGCGAATCACTTTTTGACTTTGCCGCTTTCGCGCGAGAGATCTCTGATAGCTGAGTAGTCGAGCCATAAGTGCGGACGTAGGAGAGGTATCCAAGGTAAACTAATGGTGGCACGCGCGCATGTACATACGCACCCTCGTTCTCATTGGTACGAAATTGCAGCGCCATACGCTGCTTCCCTACATGTCTTGAGCAATCCTAATTCGAACGCGCACGCAGCCCATGTAGTCGAAGCTGTTAGGACTCGGCACACCCATAAAAGTGAACAGAACGGGACTTACTGCCCATACGTTCGGGCGCCGTTCGGGTAGTGCGGCAATGTTCAGTTAATGCCTGGAAATCCGAGCATGCCGGATAAATGAGACCGTTACATACACTGGATGATGGAGATATACAAGACAGTTTAATCCAGTCGGATTGGTCAATAGTCCGTGTGGACGCAACGTGCCACGCGCGCGTCAAGTTCATTGAAGGCGATTCTAGTGGACAAGTTTGAAAAGGAATGTACCATAAAATGAACGGGGTGTTCGAGGAAATGAAAGTAAAATTCTAGAACAAAATCGTTGAAAATCTATCATACGTTGACTTATTTTGACTCTCTGAACAAAAAGGTATTTATATGAATGGGAATAAGTATGTACTTGGGCCGGTCTTAAACGTTTAAGACCGGCTCAGGGGACTGAACGCAGAAAATGCCCTCGCCTACGGCTAGGACATTAGTCGCGTCTAGACCAGCCAATCACATTACATGTATTTATTCCCTTATTAAAGCTGACTCGGCGAGGTTTTTTTTTCCAGTTTATTTTAGGAATCTTAGGACAAGTTTAAAAATTCCTGGTTGCTCGCAAGACATGACCTCTTCTCTGGCGTAACGATCGTCTTGGTTGCAAAACGGCGGCGTGATGTTTCAGCTCGCATGGTCGTAAGACACAAGCAATCCACTGCGCGTATACAGGGCCCCCGCTTTGATGAATGGCTGTACATGTGTACAGTCCGATGACTGTGTGCGCTGAAACCTCGCGCTGCTGAAGACATATTGCAACCAAGACGAGACGTGACGAGATATAATGAGTCCAAGGGATAACATTTGATTCAGTGAAGGAACCCTGTACCTTACCTGCTTCTGTTCGTACTT